CGAAATTCCGGATTTAGTTTTCGACTCGAAAAGTTTGATTAAATAGTGCTGTAAAACTAATCATCCTCGGGATGCGGGCTTTCGAACGAACTTCTTCGCGGTTGCATGCAAACGATAATCTTTAAAAACTGACTACCTAAGTAGCATTTATCGTTCTCATTGATTTTCAATGCCCATAGAAATGCAATTATATTTTACGGAAAATATGCATAAAAATATTTAATCTTTTACTCATTTGGTAGCAAATCATATCTTCTTCCACTCTAGATTCCGTTCACTTTCAGCGTTGGGAAAGTCGTAAATATTTACGTCATTAAAAAGTAACCATATGAGACAGGTCTTTGACATATTAACGACTGGAAATAACCTTCACGAGTATTCTATCCTACATATGCATAAGCAATCTCCTGCAAAATAAGCAAAAACGAAATATTTCTGTGCCTCTTATCTCGATATTGGTCAGTCATCGTTTTAACGTTGTCGTCCCATAAGGACAATGATTTTATATCAAAATGCCTCATAATAGACTGGTCCGCCAATTTTCCCGTTAAGGACTGTCATACTTCAGCTAAGACCGGTTAGACAAACCACTTTCATTATGAACGCACTTATACGGGCAAAGTCTGAGTCACGTGCTCTTTTGAAGAGAGTGCAGACAGCGTTTCGTAAGCTCTATATCGACATAAAACTCGTGGGTTGCAGTTATTTGCTTTTCTTGTGTTACATTGTTATTCGGGCTAAACTGTCTACCTATCCACGTGCAAGGTCTTCCGGGAGAGTACATCTGTGAATCTCGTTATTTTCTAATATTAATTCAATATAAGTATGAAGTATCTCAGTATGAATAAGGGTATCATCGGCCTATTTACCGGAACTAGAAATCGAAATTATATACAGGTCCTAACAATTTGGGCACAATTTGGACTAAGCTGACTTTTGCCACCAAATGGCATGCCTTCAAAGTAATCGTATTACCTGGTAAAGCCTTACAATAAATTTATATGAAAAGTGGTTTCGAGCCAAATCCTATGCCTCATGTCGTGTGCCTTCAGGTAAACGTCCTTCCCATAAGTGTATAAATTATAGTTCACAAACATTCCTCGTTAAAGGGATATGCTGGAAACGTTTGGAGCATGGGTGCATGGCGTCCAAACATATCAAAACACAGCATCAATTGACACTGTCCGTAACCGATTTCGTGGGACGTTAACCGAATTATGAAATGTGTTTTCGATTAAGGGAGATTACCTAGCGAGGACTGTTATAGTGATCTTCATGCGGTATAGTCCTAAGATGTTCCAGTCAAGCCAAAATGGCGGCTTTTAAATCCCCTTCTATTCCTCCGCAGACAGAAATCACATATGGTAGAAAATGGCCCCACAAGTAGTGTAATTTTTTTCATACCGACAGCGAAAAAGAAAACTCGGTTCCTCAACGCCCCCTTTTAAGGAGACGCAGCAAGTGAACTCCTGACAAGGCGCCTTGATCAAGCCGTTTCACAGACCTTCCCGGCAGCAAGAGTCCAAGTATTGTTTTCGACCAATCCCGTCTTACGCGGGGAATGCAAGTAAAGGCTACCAGCTCAGACCATCTCCATGTGCATTTACGCCTTTACTTGCTGCCGTAGAGCAAGCCGCACTGTCGTACGAGTCGGCGCCTATCCACGAGAATACGAGAACACCTGCCAGCATGGCCGAATAAAGGTCAAGTTAAGAGCATACACAGCTTCATCCTCGCACACATGGTTGATTCTGGGCATCGTGTGGATCTCAACGAAGCCTTCCGTGTGATTTACAAGGTTCTACCTAATTGCCCTAAGCGACTGGGTCAGCGCCTACTAGCAGCATCAGAAGCGACTGTCATCAGGCTGAAGAGGCCGGTCCTGTGCGCGCAGAAGAATCTCCGCGTCTGCCGTGGACAAGGCTCGATTAACTGTATGCATGTCCCCGCGCACCCGTTCCCTCCGCTCCAGCTCCCATTGTGACACGTCACTACCTAACCCTCACTGTCACTTACTTCCTCCTCCCTCCCTCTCCCCCCGTTTGTAGGAAACTACGAACCGCAATCGATTGCCCTTATCGCTCACACGTTTCACTTTGTACCTCATTCCCATGTAAATGTACAGGTCCGATGAGAATTTATCAAAAGCACGCGTATGCTCACCAAATACTCTTCTGAAAATAAATATAAACATTTTATGCTACCTAAGCAGTCGCTGTCTGTCGGATACAGTTTTTGCAGGTAACCAGGGAGAGATACATTCGAAAGCCGAATTACCTGAAGTTTATGCTGCACAACGGACAATATTTCAACCCTCGCTCTAGTAATCCGTCCTAATCGAAAACGCATGCCAGAATTTCAGTTACCATCTTAAGAGATCGGTCACTGACCGTATCTCTGGAAATAGCGATTGTACGTTCAAAGGTGTAATGCATTTACGGGATATTCTAAAATCCCAATTTCCCACTAGAAAATGGCAACATTTCTTACAGTATACGTGGCTACAATTCTTTGATAGGCCACTGTGATAACTTTAATTGATCGGAAGTTACCCTCGAAAAATCAGCCATGGTAGAACCTGGACTTTTAATAATCGATGGCGTTCAGAAATGACTGTATTTGTAGGCGGAGTCTTTTAAAGCTTAAAAGCCCTTAAATGACCTGACTCACCGACTAGACCGAATGACTTTGAAATGTTCCGAACGACTTCACGAGCTAAGTTAAACTGTCGATTATATATGTGCAGCTATTTGTTCAGGTTATGAGGCGACAGAAGGCAGCTGAAGAGTATTATGGGAATTTGTTCTTGCCAATAGCTCCTGCTGCATATGCCTGTATTAATGTTATAGAGGGGCTGTATTGTTTCGAATGTGTGAATGAGAGTTCGACCATCGTTGCCGACGATGTCCACCGTGTGTTCCACAGCAAGGTTAGAGCAGGTGCGGTGATTTGCGCGTGGGCTAGTTTAGTGTGGTAGTAGACTTGCCAAGCATCTGCCGCTCTCTCTCTCTCTTCCCCGCCTGAACTCGGTGTCAAGATATAGTCAGAAAACCGATGGTGGGGGAGGACGCAGGTGTTTGGCACGGCCGGACCCGCACATAGGCGTACCACCACACCTGCTGGTCCACAACAGGCACTCAGCCAAGATCTTGACCGGCGACAAAAATACAGGTAAGGCACGGATTCCAATTGATGCGGAGTGAACCCGCAAATGGGTCTCCCATTATACTCAGGATGCTGGCCTCTTCGTCAGACAACTGACAGTTAAATGGAGCTAGCGTGGTAAAAATTTACTTATTCTCGTAACAATTACAGAAAAAGCGTCTCTGACAAAGTGTTTTATGAGACTGCGCAATTCTGCCAAAGGAACCGGATGATAGCAAGCCTTCTTTTTGATGAAGACGCCTACTCAATGCACTCCATTCACCAGTGTCTTTAGCCCACACTGTTGAGCAAACTCTTAATGGAAACGTTCTGTCATTTTTCCCCAGCAACTTGCTAGTCCAACTAGGGCCTTTTACATTTAGCTGCATAAGTAAAGTGGCTCTGTCGGCACTAAGGCTGCCAGCCAGACAGGTGAAGGCTGTGATTGTTGTTCGTACACTATTTCCTGGTGCAAAAAATGGCACTCAGACGCTGGCCCTCCCCCCTCCCCTGACAGAAAATTGGAGACATTTTCCCACTGGCCTGCATATTACGGCAGCCGCAGTCTGGAGCGGATATCTAATGTCAGGAATAAATGAGATCCGCTGGCCTGTCGCGTTAACCCTAGGGACTGTTGTCGCAGTACTTGTGGCAGATGGTAGCTGACCAGCAATTCTCATGGTCATCAAGTGGACGCGAGTGACCAAGGACGTTTTCTGGGCAGGCAAATAGATGGTCCTGACTCTGCGTAGGTTGTCCTAATCGGCCTCAGAGTTAGGAGCGTAGTTTCGCACAGAACTAGGCCCACACTCCTCCGCTTACCTCCCGAGGGCAGAGGCGATACGCGTAGGACTCAGTGGAACTGATGACACACTGGGTAAGATCCCTCTGTAGATCCTCTGTCCCATATGAGTGTGTATGTGTTGACCAGGAATGCGGTTTGCATGATAAGGGGAGGAGTAAGTTCTAACCACCTATTATCTCAGTCTTAGTTGAGGTTTTTTGGTCTACGTCTCGTAGGCATGATTTGGCTCAGACACATAACAAACCAGACAGTAATGGTTTGGGCCTTAAATTTTGGCCTTGAGCTTGCTGAAGTTGCTAAACAGGGAGATTGACATGCTTCATAATTAGGTCAACTCGGATGGCTCTGAAGTGTCCTTGACAGACTTTACACTAAAAACACAGGAAAGCAGGGGAAACAGTTTTTACAATAACGAATCGTCTCGCGCGACCAAGGGTTAGTGGGAATTTGCTAAAGGGCAGCTTTAGACCGATTAAAGTAAATATGTCTAATGATCGAAGAAGTAAATGCCCACAAAATAGTTCCATTTTAGGCCGAAATGATTTACAATTTACTAAGAACTAAGAAAGTTCTAAAACATGACCTCATCAGTACACGACTCAAAAGACATACGAACCGATGGAGCGAGAGGTATCGACCTTTGGAATAGACACAATGACTCCAACATAAGTTGAAACCATGTTGACAGTGGTTGGCTGTGAGAAAGGGTTTGTTTTCAAGCGCGGCGACACTAAGTCATACGAAAATGGTATTCCGCCGATCTCATTGCATGAGGGAACTCGTTGCTGGGCGGTTGTCTTGTGACAGACAACAGAGGCAGAAGTAAGACTGACACCAGAGTGGCCGCTTCTGATTTTATTATCGTCGGTCCGCCTTAGCCAAACCCCAGGTCGGGACCATCCTGAACTGGAGCCCAGACTCCTTGGCTGTATGGTTTTTAATTTAAGCACTTCACCGCTGACTCCTGAACTAGTCTGCCCGTCGAATGAGATCGAGAATGACAATTCATGTAGAAGTGCCGGCCTACTTATTCGGCAAAATCTTTTTGTGTATGCTCCTGAAGCTGAGTCCTGAGCCCCTTCAAGCGGTCGACCGACAGTATGTCTGGCTGACGATGCAGCTGGGTGCGAAACGGCTTCCCCGCCGTCCACGCGTTTGTAAGTACTCCTGCCACCCTTTTTTCTGGCAGACGCCAGGCAAATATAATTTGCATCCATTACAGAGTTCTTCTGAGCAGTTGCGAAATCAGGGATAATTAACGCCAAATTGAGTTGGGATAATTTACCAAATTAGGTCAGTGTACAGGGTGGGTGACACGGTCAATTCGCTAGCGGATTAGCATGCGGATGAGTCGACGCAGAGGCATTAGAAAACGAAGAAGACTCAGAGAGAGCAGAATTTACAGAAACGTTAGCAACTGGTATTCTCTCTTGACCTTTCCCTTCATCATCTGAGCTCATAAAGCCGTTAAAATTTAGAGAGGCTCTTTAAATATGTTTGCAGGGCGAAAACATTAACAACACTACAAAGCGTTCGAGTGTGAACTACAATTTAAAGGCAGTTCAGGAATTTTACGCTCTTATATTTAACTGAAAATCTTTCCAGCCTTCTGTGTAAATAGGTTTTCGAGAAAATATAGTTACAAGGTTATATTTATCCTTTACGGGTTTGTAAAGTATTCAACATTGCATTGTTCTAATAAACAACCATGAATTAGTGCGTTTTTAATGGAAACTATTAAAATGAGACAATATCTTGTCGGCTGAGCGCAAGAAGTAAAAGATGCACCAACCGTTTTCGAGAAACTCTATGACAGTTCAAACGTCGATTCTGACGATGTTCACAATGTGCCCCCCGACAGGGGAGGCTTAGGGGCGGTGATAAGTGTGTGAATTAGTCCATAGCGGTGGTAAGCCTACGCCTCATCTACCGCACTTTCGCCTCCTTCTCCTCCTCCTCCTCCTCCTCCTCTGCCTCCTCCCCTGAGCCCGGGGCCAAAACAGAGCTAGCAAGACAGGATCGAGCACAGTGGCTGATAGACTTAAACAGCTCGTCTGCACCCTCCACGCACGCCTGGTCCTCGCACAAGGAGTGGGAGCGCCATAGAGGCCACCTCAAGAAGGAGCCATTGCAGCCTGACTTTTCTGCCTGCGAGGAGGACTGAATTATCCCGTTAGCTGGCAGTTTTCCGAGCCCAGCACACCGCAATCTATTGAAGCTCGTGAGGAATATGCCCCGAGGGATCATCGACTTTACCTTACCGGCCAGCCCGCAGGCACCAGTCCGCTGTCCGTGATGGTTAGTCTCATAATGCAGGAATTGGGCGCAGTGACTGACAGAGCTAGACAGTCCGTCTGCGCGTGCCACACACACGACCTGGCTCCCGAATATCACCAGGTTTTTGCATAAAGGTGGCGGGCTGCTCGGACCTCATATGTGTGTGTGCGGGGGTGTCATAAAGATCGCATGGGGAAGGAGCCAAAGAACAGGCTCCCAAATTTCGTGAGAAATGCCGATTCTGTGGTTGATGCAGAACGGGTTCGTGTGCGGCTTGTGTATCGGTGGTGGTGGTGGTGGTTTGAGCGGCGGGATTCTACTACGGGTTCTCATCGATATGCGTATGGGCGAGTAGGCTCACGCGGTAATTCAGAAGGCGTAGTCAGTGCGGCCAGCTGAGGCGAACTCCACGGGTGTTTTGTTGGAGCTCCTGGCACTGTTTCACGAATCTCTGTGCAACAGACTGACAAGTGACCGGCTAGACCGCTTTGTGACGTGAAAGTGCGATCGCAATGAGGGCAGGTTGGGATGGGGTCCACATTGACGATGGCGGTGAGGGTGATGGTTGACGGGAGGTCTGGAGTGTTCACACCGGTGGTGGGAGTGGGAGAGGTGGTAGTTGTTATGACGATTGTGGGGATGGTGGTCGCCGTCGACGTCGGCTGTGGGACATTAGGAGTGCGATCGCCGGAGGTGGTGGTGGGGGTGGTCGCCGTGGGGGTTGGTGCAGGGAGTGACGATGGAGGCTTTTAAGGAGGCGGCAGGTGGAGTTGTCGGGTCGTTGTTGCATTGGGTCCGGAGATGCCAGACCAGGTCGATCTATGCGCGGAATTTTCGCCGACAATGTGGGCATGTTGGGGAAAGGGGTGGGCGTTTTGAGCTGGAAGCCCTTAAAACTTTTAAGCCACGATTTTTCTTTTGGCGGCAGCTATCCGGCTGGCTTTGTATCTTTCTGCTCCAGTCTCCACTGCCCTTCTTCCGGCCGTTCAATCATGGACAAGATCATCCCGGATCTCTCGGTTGATTTATATACTGATGAGGGAAGGCAGAAGAGCATTACCGACAAAGACTCTAATGAAGGATGGAGAGGAAATGCTACTCTACGTGCACCACTGGCCACTGTGTGGCCACTGAGGGGGATACAGATTGAGCCATTCTGTCGAACGCCTACTTGACATATTTATATGCTGCGCTTCATATGGCTTATGGCCTACTGATAATCGGCAACAACCGTGAAAATGGCCGTTTCCGGTTTACTAGCCGTCGTCAGCCAGTCACACCCAATCCCGAAGTGTGGAACACCCGAGCCTCGAACTAGCGACCTGTTAGTTAGAAGTCCACGCCTCTAGCCACAGGGCCACGAGCCCGTCACCCTGTCGGTTTCGATCGGGAATATAATATGGTAGGAGGCGCTCACCGATCTTTCTTACGGAACTCTTTCCGTTGTACCTTACGGGCTCTCCCTCGAGCCCAACCAGCAGCCGCAGGGCGGTGCATGATATAGGCAGAATAACACTATCGGCAAAGACAGGGGAGACCGACGTAGCCATTTCTGGCTTATTAGCCGTCATCAGCCAGTCATACCCAACCCCAAGTATTGTCGATCACTTGGAATTCGAACCGGGGATTCTTGGTCATGGAGTTTAACATTACCATTGAGCCACGGGCCCGGTGTCCTGCTGGTTGCGATCGGAAATATCAGTCATGACAGATGGGTGTTCACCGATCAGGTCTTCGTCGGTACCATCTCATTTACTTCTACTACTAGTCGCTGTATGACTGCCTGTGATGGTTCTAGTCTGAGCTCGAAGGCGCAACGGAACGAGTGCGTCCCGTAATTTGATCAGTGAGCGTCCGTCTGTCATCATATACATATGAGGATAGAAGGCTCGTCGGAAAAAATCGAGTTGTACTTGTGAATTTTCGAGCTGATGACACCAACCCGTCGTCAGGCAAAATAAACAGAGAAGAAAGTGAAATGGTCTAGCCTATAAAGGGAGCCGTGCTCGAACTCTTTTCTTCCGGGCCTATCGTTACTGCAGCAGCGATGATCTACTTAAGAAAGAACTCGCTTCCTTGTATCGGTTGTTCCGGCCCAACGGACACTCGGTCTGTGCCTATCGACCTACCCTAAGTTCTTAAATAATTTCTGAGGAAATTAAAAAGTGATAATTTCTAAATTGGAGTATTTACCTGAAAGTGAACGGGGAATTCTGGGGGACCCATTGATGAGCCGACCCCCGCGAAGCTGTGTCATGCAGTGGCAGAATATCGACGAAAGACGCGTGTATGGGCCTTTGGCTAGTACCTGTGCTGTTAGTATGGTATCACCTTACCCTAATGTGCACTCAATATTACTACCAAAGGAGATATGAAACGGAGCATTAAGTATTTCGCCTCCGGCTACGCTCACTTCGGGGTGACCATCAGTAGGGACAAAGTGGTGGTCATGCATCAGCCGCCACCGAGCGCTGAATAAAGTTCTCTTACATACATATCATGGGCAACTTTGTCCATCTGGGAAGCACACTCTCGCGCAGCACACGAATGGACGACGAGGTTTCCCGAGGCCATCCAGGCCCTTGACTGGCTTCAGGCTTTCGAGTGAAATCGCCACAGCCATCAGCTGAACCCCAAGCTGAGGATGCACAAGGTCACCGTCTTGGGGACACTTCTGTACGGAGCGGAGACCTGGACCGTCTACGCAAGCCATGCCAAGAAACTCAGCCACTGCCGTCCTAACTGCCTTCGCAGAATGCTGAATCTGAGATGGCAGAACAGGATCCCGGATACGGAAGTTCTCTAACGGATAGGAATCCTCAGTCTCCGCCCCATGCAGATACAACTGCAACCGCGATGCGGCGGCAACCTACCAAGACATCTCTTCTAAGGAGATGTCGCCACGAGTGCTCGTCGACAGGGAAGACCAAAGCGACTCTACAAGGACACTGTGAAGCGTTCCCTGAAGCGACTTCATATCAGCACAGAGACCTGGGAGGATGTCGTCCAGAACAGACCGGCGCAGCCATCTACGATGCAAACCGAATCTCCGCCGCCAGAGCCAAATGGACCGCTCGCAAGTCTTAGGCGCCTCCGATATGCAATATTGCCACTCAAACCCCGACCCCCGTCCCCAACGTGCCCGCGCCTCGTCGGCCATCTTTGGACCCAATGCATCAACCGCCGACGGCTACGATTTCTCCCCCCTTGGACAGCCCCAACTCACTACCGAACTGCCGTTGACCACTACCATCTTCATTATCTCTGCCGAAATTGCCGCGGCGGCGACGACGAAAACGACCACCGCCACCTACCAAAACGCTCCTGACGCCCCGATAGCTACCGACAGTTCGACCGTCGATTTCGACGATGTCCACCGTGTGTCTGTCCCACAGCTGCAGCAGCGGTGGGAGCAGGGACGGTGACTTACGCAGGGGTTTATAGTGCCAGTAGACTTGCGTAGCATCTAGCTACACTCTCTCCTCCTCTCCCGCCTGGGCCCGGTGTCAAGACAGAGTCAAGAAGACCGGAGACGAGGGAGGCCGCAGGTGGATTGCTCGGACGGATCCGCGCCTTGACGCTCCACTCCGCATACCCTGGTCCACACACAAATGACCAGGATTTTGACCACAAAACAATGGGGTGGTGACAGTGGTCCAGTTGTGCGACGAATGCCGACAACAGGGTCCGCCAGCGCACCCCGTAAGTGTTGGCATTTGTTATTGCGCACAGATAACGCCTGCCAGAGTACGATGTGGCCCCCGTGTTGGTCCAGCGCATCTAACACGTGGCCCGTTTGGAGGGCACAAAAGAGAGATGTCAGCAACACCCGGTATTCCCAGCCGGTCACCCATGCAAGTACTAACTGGGCCCAACGTAGCTTAACTTCGGTGACCGGACGAGAACCGGTGCTTTCTACGTGGTATGGTCGCCCCGATAGCTACCAACACATTCACCTCACACATAGGCTCGATCAATCGATTGCGAATCCGTCTCACAGAGACTGGTGAACCAGTGCCTGTAGCGCCAACATACAGTCATCGAATCCGCCTTCACTGCCCACGCAGTCCGCGCATATTTATCCACCGGCATGTGCCTATTCGGTCACATGCGTATCCATGGCAGCAGAATGAACTGCGTTATCGATCCCTATAGCACGCTTTGCTCATCAACCACCTCCAACCCAATCGACTCTCCATCATCCAGCGCGCGGGCACATGCCACATGGGTGATCAAAGCCGTGGCTTGGAAGGTTGCCAACCTACGTTCCAACTCAGTCCTCGCAGTCAGCCCACTTCTATGTTCGTGGGTTGAGAGACT